TTTTTTTTTTTTTTTTGTAGTACAGGTTTGCCTTTAGTTCAGGTTGGCCTTGAACTTGCAGTGATCCTCCTAGTTCAGCCTCCCAAGTGCTAGCTGCGGCTTATTTTCATTCATTTATACAGTGTTCACTCAACAGTGTACTTTAGGGATCTAAGCATGTCATTTTAAAAAATATTTTTATGGTACTTTCTGTCCACAGACACTTTGAAGAGCTTGAACACTCAAGTCTTGAACCGAGTACCTGATTCCCTTACAGGCCCTTTCTGAGAGAAGTGTATTTGCTTATGTGGGCAAAGGGGCTAGCCATAAGGCTGTTCATAGAGACGCGGTGATAGTCATGCTTTGGAAAGAACCTAAATGGCTATCAGTAGGGCAGTGATTAAACAAGTAGAGTCATGCCTTACAGGAATTATAAGGAATGATTTCTTGATAAGGCCAGGTCACCAAGATAATCATTAATTGCATGAAAGTGAACTATAGGGCACTTTACACCCAACATAAAATCATCACACAAACCACCATTAAAGGTAAGAGAATGGAGGAGGTGAATTTGTGGGAAGCAGGGGAAAGAGTCAAACATAGTTTTTTGGGGGGCTCGGAAATTATCTTAGTGGCACTGCACCTGCCCCAGCACAAGCACAAGGTCCTGAGTTTGATCCCTCAAACCAAAAAAAAAAAAGGTTTTTTTCACGCTCCCTTTTGATAGGGTTTACCTCTGGCAAAGGAGCTTTTCCCAGACTATTAACACCCGTATCTCTGCAGTCTCCTCAGAGTGAACTTATTCTTCTCTGCCACTCGTATTAATGGCTTCCAATGAAAGTCCTTGCATTTTCACATATTAAGTATTGTATTTGCAAAATGTCTTCTAAATCAGAAATGGAGCACACCCATGCTGTATTCAAGGAGACACTTTATGTATTATAGTCTGTTCAGGCTGCTATAACACAATGCCACACACAGACTGGGGATGTGTGTGCAGAGACAACAGCAATATATTCCCTAGAGGCTGGGAAGTCCAACATCAAGATACTACAGACAGCTAAGTTAGGTAGAAATTAATAGGCAGGCAGGCAGGGATGAGCCCTCAGGGAGTCAGTGTGGAAGATGAAAACACATGTGGCTGGAGGCACATCTGAAGAAGGCCAGGTCTCAAGATGGAGACAAAACGGCCAGGCCTGCAAGTCTCACTAAGGGAAAAACAGCAACTTGAGATTCTACTGCAATTGGCGCCACTCGGTCCACCAAGTTCACATGGGCATAAGTCTAGATGGGTGACCAGAACACCCAGACCTATCCTCCTATACCTTCCTGTTCCTTTCAAAAAAAAAATTCCTTTGCTCTTCCTATAAATTACTGATGAGCTAAAGTTAACGATGCTCACAGTACACCTTTGCTATGTGCCTCAATTCCCTACTGGATCAGTATGAGCTACTTGTGATCCTATCATGTACCCACTTTGTGACTTTTGTTCTACAGAAAACCCTTGGAGAAAGCGCCTGTGGGGCCACCCACTTCCGGGACCCCTTCTGTCACTCAGGAGCTTTCTGTCAGTAAACTTTTCCTTACTCTTCACCTGCTTCCTTACTTGGGAGACACAAACTTAGCACACTGGACCTCCAGCAGGCTGAGAGTTATTTTCCCCTCAAAGACTCAGTGTCTGTGGAAGCAGGACCTGGTTCAGAAATGTTGGTCCTGTGTTTACATTCAGTCCATAGCCTCATGTTAAACAGTTTCCTCTGTGAAGAGGGGTGAGACTCTAGAATGACTGGGTGTAAATGCGGTGGAAATGAAACCCTTAGGAAATGGGGGCTCATCTCAGGCCATGGTGCACCTTCACACAAGTTTGCCTGATAAACCCAAGAATATTTTGAGATACTGATGCACTCACTGAATATATACAAATAATTAGACATATGAAGGGCTGGGCCCTCATGTAAATGCATTCAAAGTGTCTCTAGATCTCAAGGAACTGCCAGTCTAACCCAGCATTACAGTAGTGGCAAATATTGTGCACCACAGAGCTACACTAACAGGAGGGAAAATTCACAAAAGCCGGATATTCCAACTGATGTGTGAGGACCAGCAGCATCTATATTGTGTAGGGGAATGTGAGACTCAGCCCTTAATTCCTGAATCGCATTTTAGCAAGATTCCCAGTTGATGTGGATTCTTTTTTTTTTTTTTTTGGTACCAGGGATTGAATTTGTGTCCTTGCGCTTGCAAGGCAGACCACCAAACCACTGAGCTAAATCCCTGGCCCAATGTGGATTCTTATAAAGCTTTGAGAAGGGAACTGTCCACTACCCATCCACCCCTTGGGAAGTGATAATGGCACAGAAAGAGCAGTAAGGGGACTGGTACGAGAAGTTTAGCTTGGAACGAACAGTGGGCACTTTGGAAGGAGTGGGAAATGAGGCAGGAAAGGTATGCCAAACCACAGGGAGAAGGACCACACCAACTTTGTGAGGATGCTGGAACAGGCCACAGAAAATCTTAAGCACTACAGTAAGAGGATCATATTATTCTGTTTAGACCTAACTAGTGGCAGAGAGAAGAACTGCAGAACCAAGAGGCAGCGGTAGGCAGACACGTGTCCCTAATTGAACACACTTCTGTTTAGGACTCCAAAGGAAGCCTCCTACTTCCAGGCAGTCGCCAAGCCCCAAAAACAGAAGGAAAAACAAAGTTGGATACACAATTTCTCAGCGTGCGATCTAAACTCAGCCACATTAGCTCACTCGCAGAGCGTTAGATATGCTAATCTTGCGGTCTCACCCCATCTGTACTGGGTAGGGAATTTACAAACCTGACTTGGAACAAATTCTCCAGGTAATTCTCACGTCCCTGCCAAATACTTGCAGCTAGTGATAAAGGCTTAAAATCACCCCAACTTTCTTCCTCCCTTAAAAAGTAATGATAGGCTGGGCGTGGTGGTGGACGCCCCTAATCCCAAGACTCGGGAGGCTGAGGCAGGAGGATCACTGTGAGTTCGAGACCAGCCTGGGCTACATACTGAGTTCCAGGTCAGTCTCAACTACATAATGAGACCCTGTCTCAAAAAACCAAAAGTAATGAGAAATGAGCTTCTCTGCTGAGTGAGCAGAACAAAAGCTACCCAGAACTTAGATTTCATATAACGCCCAGAATCTATATAATTCAAAAACCCCATCTTGACCATCTCGTCTAAATCGTCGTATCCGGAGAATTTAAACAGTTTCGGTATATACCATTATGTTCTTGGCAGCCTAAATTAAGTACAACATAATATAAGTTTAGTAACATTGCCGGTTGTAAATTCTTCCTGTCCCCTGTATTCCCCACAAAAGCATGCTTTGGAGAAGAGCTGGGATGTCCTTCTGGTCCCCTGCAAGCTGTGTTTCTGGTGCAACCGCCCGTTAGGAAAACACAGCTCGCAAGATGAAAATCCCGGAGCGGTTCGCCTGCCGTCCGAGCCACACCCTGGGCCACGGCTCCTACTCAGCCAGGACCGAAGATAAACAAATCGCTCCTGTTCTCCAGACCTCACAATTAGCGCTGACTCACAGGGCGCCCAGAGCGGGCCTCGGTCGCTTGAAGAAGAAGGAAAAATGTGCAGATTTTTCCTCTCACGCGAGGGTCCGCCATGCCTAGCTGGCCAATCATCAGCGGGCTGCGGGAATCGCACCAAAGTAGGTAAAAAAATGCGGCGTGCCGCCCAGTCCGCAGCCCGCGCCACCGCCAACCTCTCCACCCAGTCTTCTCTCCGCGCGCCCCGCCCAGCCTGCACCCCGGCCCCGCCCCCAAAGGCGCGCACACCTGGCCAGGTGGCTGTTTCTATATATGGGCAATGGCGGTGCAGTGGGCTGGGCGGTGTGGCCGCGCCCACTACGGGGGAAGAGTGGGGCCTCTCCACTTTAGACG